TTTTTTTATTTTTTAGGTTTGGTTAACGAATTTTAGCACCAAAGTTTCTCAATAGATTTGAATGAGCAATACCTGTAAAGACGCCTAATTAGTGCACCTATAAAAAAAATTAACGTCACAGAATATAATTTTTATTCGACTTTTCCTGAGTTTTTAAATTAAAAATTTCGTTAAAAATAACACACAAAAATAATCATTTTTGCAATTCAATGCTTTATATTTCCCAGAGGCTAAGCTAAAATCACAAAGTGTTTCGGCTTACCTTGTAGCTGTTTTAATTATCTTTTCAAAATAGCAAAGTTCTTTACAACCAGACGTAAGATACTAGAGCTACTAGCGCTACCTCTGAAAAAAGCTTTAAAAAAAATACCAGTTTTCAAAAATTCTTTAAAAAAAGTTCTGCCATAGAAAAAAAAAATATCATCAAACCATTTCTATGCCCCAAATCTTTAAGAAAAAGTTCGTTCTGTTCCTTGAGGAAAAATCGTGTTGACTAGTGTTATCCACAAACAGTTGCGAGGGTGGAGCTTGCTGGTTCGAGGGCATTTCCTGCTGACCTCCTCCTAGACTGGTGCTATGTGAGCCCAGATTTCTCCTATCCACATCACTGGGCGTTCGCTCCACTTTTAGAGAGCCTACCACCGCATTTATCTGCTTCATAAATTCTAGCATGTCGGCTTGCATCGAGGCTCTGAGCGCTTCCATCTGTTGGCCCAAAGAAGCTCGGTATGTTTCCTGAGCCTGCGCTATCGCTATACTTACACCTGTTCTCAACTCGCTGGGTAGCTCGCGGTCCACCCGAATTGCATGGCCGTCTACTGCCCCGACCTCTGGGTCATCCAGGCCCATAAGCATAGCGTTGTCGTGTCCTGGCACCTGCGACGCTCGTTCCGGCCCACTGCCAACTTTCCCGTCCTGGGACCTAGTCGTCGGCACTCCGTATGGCTGGTACCTCCTCTGCACTTCAGGGCTTCTCCTAGTTTTTCCCGACCCTTTAAACACTTCCGGGTCACTCATCAACCAATATATGTTTCCTTTACCTACTACCTAGTCACCTATGCATCAATATATGTATGTAAACTCAATCTACGTGTATATGTGTTGGTGCTAACTCAATTATCCTACCAAAAACCTAAATACATTAATGGACGACGAGAGAATAAATAAATAAACAGTATAATATATTAATACACGAACACTCACACAAATGTTTAAATAAATAAACACCTACGTAAATAACACTACTCGACAAAATCCAACTTTTTTTCTTCAAGGATCCAAACCGACTTTTTCTGATAGATATGGGACTTTGAATTCTTTTAAAGAATTATGGTTTTTTTTCTATGGCACCACTTTTTTTTTAAGAATTTTTGAATTCTGGTAATTTTTTGTAAAGCTTTTTTCAGAGGAAGCGCTTTTTTCACAAGACTCTAATATCTTACGTCTGGTTGTAAAGAACTTTGATAATTTGAAAAGATAATTAAAACAGCTACAAGGTAAGCCGAAACACTTTGTGATTTTAGCTTAGCGTCTGGGAAATATAAAGCATTGAATTGCAAAAATGATTATTTTTGTGTGATATTTTTAACGAAATTTTTACTTTAAAAACTCAGGAAAAGTCGAATAAAAATTATATCCTGTGACGTTAATTTTTTTTTATAGGTGCACTAATTAGGCGTCGTTTAAGGTATTGCTCATTCAAATCTATTGAGAAACTTTGGTGCTAAAATTCGTTAACCAAACCTAAAAAATGAAAAAAAAGACAAAGAACCCCTTTTCGAAGGTTGCGGGCCCAATTGGGAACATAGCAAACGAAAAAGGGTTGTACATTTGGTACCTGATCGCGATCCCAATTCCCTATTGGGCAGTTGGGCCCGCAACCTTCCAAAAAGTTATTTTTTGTTCATTTTTTCCATTTTTGGTTTGGTTAACGAATTTTAGCTCTAAAGTCTCTCCATAGATTTTAATGAGCGTTACCTTAAACGACGCCAAATTAATGCACCTATACACAAAAAAATAGAGGACACAGGATATAATTTTTTTTCGACTTTTCCTGAGTTTTTAAAGTCAAAATATCGTAAGAAATACCGCACAAAAATCATCATTTTTAAATTTCAATGCTTTATATTTCCCAGACGGTAAGCTGTAATCACAAAGTGTTTAGGCTTAACTTCTAGCTGTTTTAATTATCTTTTCAAAATAGCAAAGTTCTTTACAACCAGACGTAAGATACTAGATTTATGTGAAAAAAACACGCGCTACCTCTGAAAAAAGATTTTAAAAAAAATACCAGACTTCAAAAATTCTTAAAAAAAAGTTCTGCCACAGAAAAAAACCATAATTCTTTAAAAAATTTTAAAGCCCCATATCTATTAGAAAAAGTCGGTTTGGATCCTTGAGGAAAAAAAAAGTTCGATTTTGTCGAGTAGTGTAATTAATGGCCCATTTGATCCTTTTTTTTTTTCGCATTTTTAGTGTTAATAGTGGTCATATTGCTGGCCCAGGACCGTTAAGTCATGTCTCCTGAAGACGCCGCCGTTTATCTTTGGTGCTAAAATCGATACCTACCGATTCAAAAAACTCTCTTCTAATATCTTATATCATTTTGAACCGATCTTCGACGCCCAATCGTTTACGAATATGATCCTACTTTGAAGGTCCTTTGGGGTGGTCTTCCTCTTACTTCCTGAGGCGGGTAGTCGTGTTACCGAACAGAATTTTTAGAAATCCTTTAGGAAATTGTGTCTTGAGGACTTACTCATAGTAAATTTAGTGCTAATAGCGCCAAAACTAAAATTATTTGACCGCAAAAATGGCTGCCTTCTCAGTTTCAGTTTTTGAATGTATCTATGCAATTAAAATATTTCCCGACTGACTTAGATGTTTTTGAATTCTCGCCATCGGCTTAAAGTTAACTAACATGAGTGTCCACATTTCAATGTCCGCTACTGTATATATATTCTTGATCAGCATCTATAGCCGAGTCTATGTCTGTCTGTCCGTCTTGATGAGCGCCTAGATCTCAGAGACTACAAGAGCTAGAGAATAAAGAATAGCCAGAATAAAGAAATTAATTTTTTAACCTTTGCGGAGAAGATGTATAATCTATATTGTGTATGTATAATTTGCATTTTATATGTGAAATCGACATTGTAGATGTAGATAACAGATGCAGCAAAAAAATGTAAAATGTAAACTTTTTTTAAATTCTACATAAATCATAAGCTCACATATTTATATACTGACTGAGTACGGGTATAAAAGTGCGACTCTCCACAGAAGCGACTCACACGTTCCTTCTCGTTTACATTGGCAATGTATGGTGCTTCATCAATAAAAGTTTGATCTCTGCATGTGGTAGGTGAAAGAAAAGGATCTCCTGATTCAAGTATAAGGCGACACGAGTAAGGTGGCAAAAGTAGGGTTTCATCTTTTTTAGTCTTACTTACAGATTTCGGGAATGTAGTGATCACAGGCTCGGCCACGAGGTCTTCCTTCAGGGTCTTCGGCCCGTACGTGGCTACTCGATGCGTGCTGGTCGATGGGGTCCGTCTTGGGATACGGTATCGGAGGATAGTGCGCTCCGATAGACGTAAACGATGCGGTGGACAAGGGCGTACCCAGGGAATGACAGGGGGCATTCTCTCACATACTGTTGCTCGTATAGACTGCGTAGGGAACGTGCCCTAACGGCTGGTGTTGGCATAAAGGGAGAGAGAGAGAGAGACAGATGGAAACAAAAAAATATATTAATATAATAAGGATAATTAAGGATAAACTATATTTTATAGGATTCATAAATCACTGACGCCAAATCGACCTTGACATGAGCTTTTTGCAAAAACAACAAATTAACTTTAAAAGTTTGCATGAGGAAAAGAAGAGAGAAGAATAGAGAATAGAATAGAATAGAAGAATAGAAGAATGGAATAGGTATAGCAGTTTCCCAATGCATGCAAGAATTAGATCTATGGATCTTTTGACGAGAACACTATGCAAGGATAAACAAAAAATGAGGGTGAACGATTTGAGGCGCGGCTTCTTCTCTCTTCTTTTCCTCATCCAAACTTTTATACCCGGTACTCTGTCAGTATATATAAATATGATATTGATTTATGTAAGCTATACAATATATTTAAGACATAATTTTAAGTAAGCGACGGAATTTGAATCGGAGCCGATGCACTCCGTGTATGCTCTTTTAATTAACATGAGAAAGTTTGTCGAATATTCCTCGAAGACTATACAGCTGTTATTGGAAAAATATCCTGAAAATAAGCTCCCTTTCCCGACTCATAATATTTTTGCACACTTTAAAATTGTAATTGTAATTGAAGAGATATAAAAAATAACGAGAAGGAACGTGTGAGTCGCTTCTGGGGACGCGACTCTACATATACCCGTACTCAGTCAGTATATACATTTTTGAGCATATGATTTTTTAGAATTTTAGAATTACAACATTTTTTTGCTACATCTGTTATCTATTATCTATTAGATTCTACATCTCCTTCGCTAGGGGTTGCTCGTGCACTGAACGCGGCAGAGTGTGCGAGCGAGAAGGAAAATGAGTTGCATGGTCGTAGACAGGAGGGGGCAGGGGAAGCAACTGAAAATTAATTTCTTCATTCTGGCTATAATTCTGATCCGATCTAATTCATATTCGGCAATCTGGTAGATATGGGCATTCTCTACGTTCTTAATTTTATCGTATCTTTAAAAATGTGCCTGCCACAGATTTTCGGGGTTTTATGGGGTCGGAAACGTTTCCTTCTCTGCGTTTCACACATCCACTTTTACCACAAATCTAATATACCCCTTAACTATTTTTTTGAGTACGGGTATAATAATACAGGTACATAGTGGTACAGCATACAAGAAAACATGGAAGATACAATCCTTGCCACTTGTATAGTACACCCCATAAAGTCAGATTTCTAACACAAGCTAAGATGATTTTTATTTCAAATTTAATTTACCTAATAAAAATATATTTATTCATTTATAAGTTTTGATCATTGTAATCTGAAATGACCAAAGCCATTTCGACTGGTTATATTTTATGCACAATTTAAAATAATATCTAAATGGAGTTCCGAATAAGTAAAACATCTTTCTTTGTGTGACAGGGAATATATAGGAGCTTCCTTTAACAAATTACCATCGCATTGCTTGAAGGTTCAATGTCGCTACACTTGCTTTAACGGACGACAGAAAGAAATTGTCAACGATATTCAGTACGCCATTTCTAACTCTAATCAGGTGAGTAGTCGATATTCCAAAATAATAACTAAATACTCATAGCCCTTGTTCTTTTTTCAGTCGGAAGCTTGTGATGTAATTGACGAGCTCCGTCTTTACAACTATGAATTTATCAATGCAACGGTGGGAGTCGGATTCTTATCAACTATTGGTGATAAAGTCAAAAATATCTATATAGCTATCTCAAATGTTACAGTCATTGAGAGCGGTGCTTTTGGTGGAGGTATCTTCAATAACATTGTTCTTGAGGATCTTCAGTTGAAAGACATTACAAATGGATTTTTTATGAATATCTCTGAAGATTTAAAGGGAATTTCTATTACGCAGCGAGAAGAACCAGTACAATGTATATATCCGAATTTTCTGGACAATGTAAAATTTCAAATTGAGCACTTAGTAGTACGAGTAGGCCTTGAATGTGTAAGGAATGTGACAGCTCATGACCCTGTAATGGGATTACTCGCCTTTGTTGACTTCAGCTATAACAACTTCAGTACACAATTGCTTGAAGACACGTTCAGTAAACTAACCATGGTTGAGCGATTAGTTTTATCGAATTCAAATATCATGTACCTACCACAATATATTTTCCAAGGTATGATACAAAAAAATGTCTATATAAGTATATGTATCGCAAGTAATAATTATCTCAACATAACGGATATGCTTTAATTTTTTAAAGTTTCATATACTAATACTAGGGGGCAAGCCCCCTGCTCACTCGTTTCGCTCGTTGCCAACCCCCATCCATGTCTTCTATATCATTTTATAGATATATATATATTTGTTTTTTTTTTGTATTTAAATCATTTTATTCATAACCATGAAAAATATACAGGGGTGCCACAGAAATCTCTAGTGAAATGGGAAACCGCGCAGAGGATTTCCGATTCAAAATTTCCGCCGTGCCACAGAATTCCGAGCGATTTCATTTTTCTTTTTTTTTTTTTTGGTATTTAATCGCTAAAGCGAATTGAGTGGTCGCACGACGATGAATCTGCAATGACCAGATACTTCAGTTGGTATGGTGCTATCGATGATTTGTTGTGGAGGGCATGCACGGTGTTGCTTTTCGATGATTCCAAGGTTTTGTTGATGAGGGCATGCACGGTGTTTCATTAGATGATGTTCTCGGTGATATTAATTTTACAAAGTAATGTTAGGTGTATTGATTTTAACAAAGTACATTAGATTGGTGTTAACGGTGTAGGTAATTATACAGTATAATATTTAGTTTAAAAGTGTATTCGTGTGCGTGAGTTTTACAAGGAAATTAATAATAAAATGTCAATTATACAATGTAAGGGTTAGAAAGTGTAGTGTGTATGTTTTAATGTTTACGTTTTACAGGTATTCTAAGATTAAAGTGATATGTTTGCTTGAGATTAGTTTGTATGAAAATTATCACAGAAAAAAAGCAACAGAAGGTTGCTCCAGAGAGTAGGCCCAACAGAAGGCTGCTCCTCAAAGTGACTTCCGATAGCACCGAGTTGCCTGACCTGAATTGATCCCATGTGCTTTGATTCAAAACTCCAAATTGGCCTCATCAATATATTTCGCCAATTCTCTAAAGAAAAGAGGCTCTTTTGTGAGTAATAACTCCTTGATGTTATTAAATAGCTTGAAAATCTTGTACTTTTTTCTAATACTGGCATGTCTCTGGCAGTAGAAAATTTCGTGTTCCGCATCATCGAGAACACTGCAAACTTCACAGATGTTGGAATTTCTGGCTTTGATCCTATGTAAAAAGACGTGATCATAGGTACGTCCAATAAGTAGTCTGTTTATGACCTTTATATTTTTGGCACGCCAGTCAAGAGCCCAGTGCCACGGTTTGACTGGAATCTCGCTATAAATTGAAGCAAAATACGCCCCTTTAATTTTTGATATTTCTTTATACTCATTATTCCAGTCGATCTGGACTCTAATCTTAACTGTTCTAATTACTTCATCGAAGCTGAGAGGTATGTTAACTATTCTACCCACGCTAGTGGCTGATTTGGCTAGTAAGTCAGTCTTTTCGTTAATAGCAATGTTCTTATGACCGGGTATCCAGTGCAAAATAAAGTTGCTAGTGAAGGAATTGTCTATATTGAGGTGTATTTCGTCTGTTAAGTATGAATTTGATTCATTGCTTTTCAGAGCCTTTAAGGCCCCTTGACTATCACAGAGAATAACAGTTTTATTATATCTTTTTTTACTTGATATCTTTACTGCTGTTAGTATTCCTACAAGTTCTGCAAAAACAGAAGAGGAATTATTTTCAATCTTAAATTTATAGCTGTTGTTACTAGGGTAATCCAAGATACCTATACCTATCCTATCACCATTGATGGAGGCATCAGTGGAAAGAATGTTCCACCCATCTAACACCCACTCTTCAAGCTTGGCTTGAAATATGGCATTACATTCTTCGTTTGAGATGTCTTTTTTTTCCTGTCAAAGACTGAGAAACAAATTGCAGCTTTAGGACTGTGTTTGTATTTTTTATTTTCAGTATAATTGTCGAAAAGGTCCCTAAATTCTTGGTACACGGCTGTGTAAGCAGTCCTTGCGTTAGACAGAGTGACATTATCATAAAGAGTCGGATTTAGCACTTTAACCTTAAGCAGTTCTCTGACTGTAAGAATCTTAGCTCTGTGTTTAGGCGGTAAAATACCAGCCAGAGCAAAAATCAGGTGCGTAGATGTTTTTGGAGGGACACCCACACATCGGCGAAGGCAGTCCGTCTGTGCAGTATTAAGAGATTTGCTATTGCCAATGTTTAGATTTGAAAAACTGGTAATGGCGTGCTCCTGCTGAGATCTGATGAAAGATTTGAAGATGTTGCAAGAGATTTTGGGTTTGAGACCTGATTTAATGGTGGTTACAGCATGTAGCAGAAGCTGACTTTTGTCTGACTTGTCCCTGATTTTTGCAATGTGCAATTTGTCTGACATATTGGCACTAAGGACTCTGCCTAAAAAGGTGATGGATTCCTTTATCGGAAAACTGCTATTATTGCATGTTACCGAGATGTTGTTACGTCTTCCCCTCCCAGCAACCATAACTGCAGATTTGCTGGGATTGAAATTAAGACCTAGATCCTGACAGAGCAAATGAAAGTTATCGACCTTTACCTGTAAGTTGTTCCTAGCTTCAGTTATGTTGTACCCAGTTGAGATGATGGCAAAATCATCAGCAAACTGAATTACAGTCGTATGGCAATCATTGATTTGATGCAGCCTTTTGGTGTACAGATTGAAAAGTATAGGCGAGAGGCAGGAGCCTTGAGGCAAACCACCATTGACTTCTTTAATGGAGTCACCAAGTTTTAAGAATCTTGATGAGAAGAAATTAACAATCCAATCTGTATATTGCGTAGGAATGTGTTCATGATCCATTAACATTTGTAGGGTTTGTAGATTAACACAGTTATATGCATTATTTATGTCTACAACGACAGTTACAACCGATTTTCCCCGTTTTTTCTCATGGGCCATGGTATTGATAAGATCATTTATACACATGGCTGCTGATTTGCCTTTTTGGTAGGCATAAGTCCGTCTGGGCATGGTATTGTGTTCTTCTAAGAACATATCGAGGCGATTCTTAATCATTAGATTTAGAGTTTTAGCCAACACAGAGATGAGCGAGATAGGGCGATAGTTTTGATAAATGCTGAGATCCTTACCGCGCTTTGGGATGGGAATGACTTTGATGGAACGCCATTGATCAGGGACTCTACACTTTGTAAATAGCTTGTTGTATTCTTGTATAAGATTGTTCTGTGCTGGACTACTGAGTGCTTTTACCATATCATATGTAATTCCGTCTATACCTCCCGCAGTGTTTCTGCCTCTGTTGAGAACAGCAGACAGGTCACTCAAGTCAAAAGAATCAATGTTCAGAGAAGTTTTTCTAGGAAAATATGTTTGAACTTTCGCTGATACAGAGACTTGTCTTCTAAGAAACTCAAGGTACGGAGAAGACCATTCTGAACTAAAGCTTGATTTTAAAGGATCATTGAAGGACTTGATGTTCCTCAAGAAAAGCCAGGCTTTCCTTGAGTTTGGCTGTTGATTGAGTAGATCAATTTTGTTGGCATACGAGTTCTTTTTTGCAAGCTTTACTGCCTTTTTCCATTCTGTTTTCAGGTTAACCACTCTTATTTAGTTGTTCAGACTTGGAGCTCTCTGTGCCAGGATTTGTGATTCTGTATATTTGGAGTGCAGCAGCTGTAATTCTGGATTCCACCAAGCTTTGGGGCATCTAATGTTGCTTAAGGCATAAGTTGAGACCCTAATACTGTTTGTGAGGCTATTCGTGATGTTTGATATATTTCCTGCTAGCGTAGCACCTGCAAGTCTTCTAAGGAGTCTGTTTTTGGCAAGAAAGAGCCTCGGCTTCTCTTTGGTTTCTGGTATTATTATTGAGATAGGGTGATGGTGGCTGCCTCCAACAAAAGTGGAATTACAGCTCCAAGTGATATTTTCACAGCAGTTTGTGAATGTTAGATCCAAAACAGAACCGCTTTGACTGTCGATATGACGTCTAAAGGTGCAGTTTCCATCATTTAAACACTTATAGCCAGAATTACTCATATAGTCTTCCAGAAATCTACCCTTGGCATTCGTGACGTAGTCACCAAAGCAGGTGTTTTTTGCATTGAAATCTCCAGCAAAAATCACGTTGCTCCTGCCATCAAGCTTTTCAACAATGTCTTGAATTACATTTTTAAAAGTATCTGTCTTCATTGAAGGTTCAAAGTAGACTGAGACAATGGTAAAGTTTTTGTTTAAGTTGCATGTTTTGGCGATGAGAACATCGTGATCTGAGTTGTAGACTTCTTTTTTAAGTTTTATACCGTTTTTAAAAGCAATGGCTACTGCACCGTAACCATCATCTCTATGTTTTTCAATAAGATCATAATTGATCAGTTTTCTATAGGTAGTATCATGAGAAAAAACTTCGGAGAAAATAGCAATGCTATATTCACCAGAGTTAAGGGTATATTCTATGTCATTTTTATCGTTTTTAAGAGATTGGACATTGAGCTGTAAGATTTTAACAGTCATTATTATGTAAAAGGTCTATATTCTTCCCTACATGCTGTTTGCTGTGATGCGAGCTACCCTGTAGGACTTTTCCTCTGATGTTTTGAAGAATATTAGTGCCGTTAGCTGACAAGAGCAGTACAGGAGTGATAAGTTCAAGAATTTCTTGAACTATAGTGCTGTTGACACTACTTAGAGTGTCCCCATTTTCCTTGTTGGGAAATTTATAGGCATGATCACTGGAGTCATTAGTGTATGAATCTAGTGAGAAGTGCGGTTTTTGTTTCGCAAAGCCTACTGTTCGTTGAACAAGTCTGCTGCTATAGGAGTGCTTTTTTAAAACATGGTTAGCTTCTTCATTCTTGTTGATGACTTGGGAGATTTGATCATTTGATTTGGTATTATTTTGATTGAACTGATTTTTGTGGATAATCTGAGGAAATTCTTTGTCGTAGTCAAGATTGCGATCATAGTTTTGTTGGAAAGAAAATTGCTTTAAGGCTTCTTTCCTGGCTAATTTTTTAATGGTCATAATTTTATTTATGTCGACTTCTTTGGTCCATACCTGACATTTGTTTCTCTCAAAAGCATTGTGCCCATCACACTGACACAAGATGCACTTGTTAATGTTGCAACTTTCATTGCAAGTATTGCTACCACATTTTTTGCAACGCTTTTGTGACTTACAACGTGAGGCTGTATGTCCTAAGCGACCACAATTGTAACACTGTCTAACCGCAGGAATATAATAACTGACTTTTAGCGAGCATATGTCATAAATTTGAACAGACGATGGGATTTCTGTGCCTGCAAAAGAAATTTTTACAGTCTCAGTTGGTTCAAGAACTACTTCATTCGCTTCATTTTTAGATTTTCTTAAAATGCATTCAACACTGTTTATTTTAATTATCGAGGAAAGATTGTCAAGAAGTTTTATGTCAGATATGTTTGTAGGAATGCCCCTAATGACACCTACGGTTTCAGTGAAGTTCTTGGAATAAAAATATCGATATTTAATTTTTTTAATTCATCGTTAAGCACAAAAGCATTCGCATCATAAGGGGTATTAAAGTACAGTTTGTATAGAGTCGCTGCACTAACCGTAGGCTACAACGAAATGGGGCGAGGGCCGCCCCCCTTCGCGGGGGGCGGGGCGGGCGTCGGCATTTGTGCGGAGGGCGGGGTTAGTTGAGTTGTTGGTTAGGGGGGGGTTTTTTGGGCCGGGGCGGTTTGGCTAATTATTTTGGGTTGTTTTCACATTTTTCGGGGGGCCGCACTGGGGCGACGAGGGGGCTGAGAGCCGAGCGGCGGCACCGGGGACCAGCGCGCACAACAAACGATGCGGCCCGCCACCCACCCGGCGAGCGGCGCCCACGAATGGACGACGGGAGGCCCCGCCCCGGGGCCCCCCCCCGGAAAAAACAAAAAAATTTTGTTGAAAAACAAAACCCAAATAGAATATATGCCACTGGAGGGGGCCCCGATTGTGGTGTTGGCCCGGTGGGATAGGTCGCTACATCACATCAGCCCAACATGACCAATAGCGGCCAACAGAGGCCCACACACAGCCAGGGGCTATACCTGGCGAACCAAACGGTTGGAGGGCGGCGTGGGTGTTCTGGCGGGCCAGCGGCACCCGGCCCCGCGCGGGGGTGGGCGGCTGCCGGCCCGGGCACTGCTACCCGGGCAAGTATGCGTAAATTGTGTTTTTTACTTTTATTATACTTTGTATTTGCTACCTAAATCATGCGTTCTTAGTGGAGTTAGTTTGCGGATTTTGGGCCACTATGGCACCTCCAAAGTTGGTTCTAACGGTTTATTTTTGTTGTACCTTTCGTTTCCGCAGCCTGGCGATTGGGGCCGCTTGGGGTTTGGTTCCATGCTTCTCCCTTTAAGCTGATTTAGGTGTTAAATTTTTTTTGTACACCCGCCTGGCTGCTCCCAAGTCATACATTGTGGGCGGGTGATGGGTTATGTTACCGCTTCGCCGGTGGTGGGGTGCTGGAGGGTGCGCGACCCATTCCTGCACACCTTAACGCGGCGTTTGTCTTATACTATCGTTACCTTCTAATATGTTACCATGGGGGTTGCCGGGGCCTTTAGCCCGCGAGGGTGCGCCCAGGTACGGTAATGTGTTCCACAGTTTATTTTTGGCCATCATTATTTAGGTGGGGTGGGGGTGGGGGGTGGCCGCCGGCCCCAGGGCCACTGGGCTGGTGGGGTGGGGTTTGGGCTAGCCGGGGGGTGGGAGCATTGGTTTTTGGTTTGGGGGGCGGCGGGGGTACGCGCAACTTTGCGTTCTACCAGACAACGACCCGGCACCCGGCGG